AAATTCTTTTGATGGTGACATTCTTTAAGATCTTTATATCCCTTCTCCGATCCCCTCCACTCCCACCCCTTGGCCAACATGAGGGGTGTAAGGATTTGGGCTTCCCCGTATCTACTCTTCATACAGTAGTCTATTATCAATAGACTATATTGTCAGTTAAAATCATTTAAGCATTTTATGGCTATAATCTCTATATATTATTAGACTTTTGAAGCAATTTTTTTTTTTTTTGGAGACAAGGTCTTGCTCTGTCACCCACGCTGGAGTGCAGTGGCGCAATCTTGGCTCACTGCAGCCTCAACCTTCCAGGCTGAAGTGATCCTCCCACCTCAGCCTCCCAAGCAGCTGGGACCACAAGTGCTGCACACCACCACGCCTGACTAATTTTTTGTAGAGATGGGGTTTTGCCGTATTGCCCAGACTGCTCTCCAACCCCTGAGATCAAGCAGTCTGCCCACCTCAACCCCTCAAAGTGCTGGGAATACAGCCGTGAGCCACTATGCCTGGTTGAAGCAAATTTTTTAAAAAAGTATTTTTTTCATTGAGCTATAATTTACATATCATAATGTGCACCCATTTAAAGTGTACAATTTAGTGATTTTAAGTATATTCATTAAATTGGCGAACCACCACCACTTCTAATTTCAGAACATTGTTTGCCACCTCTAAAGGAAACCCAGCACTCATTTAGCCATCACTTCATGTTCACTCTGCTCCCAGTCCCTGGTGACCACTCATCTACTTTCCGTCTCTGTGGATTTTGGAGCAAATAAATCTAATGTTATTTATTTTATTAGATGGGTATTTTCTGTAGAAAGAATTTACAAGTAAACTGGTGGACTTGTAGAATCTTTGTTTTAAAGGTTGGTTATGCTAAACTCTGAAGCAACTCTCCAACTATCAGCACTGGAAAGTAGTAAACTTTATCTGGCTAGATTTTTGTTTTATTAGTAAAATGTGAAAAGAACTGAATTCCAGAAGCGCTATAATCCTAAGTATAGAATGTCTTCTAAAGGTTAAAACATTCTGGATTTAACTTTTTATTTACATGTTATGTTGATCAGTTTTCTCCTCTTACAGAAGTAAAACTGTATTGTTTCCTTACATAAAACCAGTGTTTATGAAATATGAATAAACTAAGTTTTTAGGAAAAAAGGAGCCCTGGAATAACGAATATCTGTTCTTTTCTTTTTCTTTGCGATTCCCCAGACACATAGTGGATCTGTATGGCGTGTGACATGGGCCCATCCTGAATTTGGACAGGTTTTGGCTTCCTGTTCTTTTGACCGAACAGCTGCTGTATGGGAAGAAATAGTAGGAGAATCAAATGATAAACTGCGAGGACAGAGCCACTGGGTGAGACATTTGTTGGTATTCTGGGGACTGGGAAGACATGAGCAGCCAAGGAGCACTAGTCCCAAGGCAACCTCAGATAATTGGTAAAATGTCACCACTCCCCTCTATTTTTACCAGTTCTAAAGTTCTTCCTTCCATGTTTTTTTCTTTCTTGTTTATTTCATTTTAACTTGGGTCTGAAGCAATACTTAGGAGCATCATTGCATTGCTTATAACTTTTATGATGAATCCAGAATATTTGCATTGTATTTGATTTTACCTATTAATAGTCGTATATGATTTTTAAGTATTCTGGCTCACTGCAATCTCAAACTCCTGGCCCTACCTCAGCTTCCTGAGTTGCTGAGATTATAGACGTGAGCCACTGTGCCTAACTCTAAAATCTTTTTGTTTTTTAACCTTAAACTCTTAAGGGTTAATACAATTTTTTTTTTTTTTTTGAGACGGAGG